TACGGTCTGTCCATTTTCTGAGCTATAATCTCTCTTTTTTTCTTCATATATGACCACCTAACGGCTGTATAACATAGGAACCGCCAAGTTTACTGTTGAATTTTTTTAAACATTTTTTAAAGGTTTTAACTAATGGTATAATTGCAATTGATGATGCTTCAAAGTTGAAAATTAACGGACGGCTAGATGACTTAGGCATTCATGGAATAGCTCCTTTCTTTGCATCAATTGATATAACAAAGAGAGGAGAAGTCTTACTGGCTGAAACAACAGGTCTTTATTTCTTTTCTTCTTGCAGCATTTTACCTTAGAAATGCGCTCGTAACATGTAAACTGAAGAATGTCAAAAAAATTGTTTTTTCTCTTTTGAAACAGTTTAGTGTCTACTGCCTGTAATATAATGAGGGATATTTTAAGATTCTGAAGTACTTACAAGAGCTACGCGCACAGTCAGGGAACATTATTTAGACGACAGTTTTGTGGCCACAAGTGTCCTTATTGTGACTTTCCTTAATGTCACTGACGGAAAAACAGTAAATTTTGATAGTTCATAGAACTATTTGTCTATTCATTTGAACACTGCATTTTTTAAAACTTGCTGCTTTTCCAGCGTAACGGCAACTCCTTTCAAACGTTAGTTATTGGAGGGAACAACCAGAAAAAAGAAAATTTGACATACACTCAACTCTTATATAAAAAATTGCCTTGGAGTTCCGGAGCTGAGGTAAGCTAATTAAATCTTTTTTAAAACAAAAAAACGATTATTAACAATTGAAATTCTTTAACTATTCAGCACGCTTTGTAAATTTTTTGCTTTTTTAGTCTTATATAATAAAAATGTCAACTTTTAGGCAGGTATACTGTCCTTTGACGATGAAAACTCAATTCTTCTTCCTGGCTCTGGCACTGAAGGTATTGAGCAGTTGAGTCAATTGAGTAATATAAAAACTCCTGGACAATGGCTTTACCGCATTGATTCGCCAGTGATTCATCCATGTGCTCGACCAAATCTTCAACCACCATACTGTGCCAGCGAAATTCAAACACCGAGTGAAAAACAACGCTCTCAACGACCATTACTGCAGAGTTCTTCTTCAGTAACCAAAGCTCCACCTAAAAGTAATCGTTTCTAATAATTCTTGAAGCTTCTTTGATAGGTTTCAATATAATTGTACGATAACCAATGAGAAATTTTCTAGTTGGAGGCGGTGGACAGCAAAGGATAGATACGGTTCCAGAAACACCAGACCGGCAAAAAATAAACAACGGTGATGCAGAAGTTTTTGAAATCCCAGGTCCCAGAATAATTCAGCCAGTGCTAGTCGGAGCTCTCCCAACTCGTCATTCAAATAAAACTTCAGCAACACCGCCTACAGCTGCACCATCGACTTCGCGGACTACAACGCGAAAACTTTCAGTAACCACAACATCCAAAGCTCACCAAGAATACACCTACAGAACTTACACTCCGCATGTGTTAGTTTTAGTCCTGGCTTTCTTGCTGTTTGCCAAACTACTTATTTTGATCTAAGGATATAGCACAGTGAACGCGAATCTTTTAAATATAGGGAATAAAGTTATTTGCACGTTTTAAGATAATTTTTCTCACAATTACGTTATTTAGACCGCTTGTGTCCATTGACAGCCATGACATTGAGGACATCCCACCGGATGCTTTTGACATAACATTTCCACCGTTTGTCACTGTAGTACCACAAATATTTACGGCTGCAGTAGCACCCAAACCAATTGATAAAAGTTTCTCATCAATTGAGTCATCCAAAGAAGTGAAGGTTGAAAACGTATGTTTCTTGAACGTGTTATTGGACATATGTATTTGACGGACTGTCATGTGGACAATGTTAACGAGTCGTTGCATTCTTTTTTAGGCAAACCTTTATCCCGTCAAACCAAGTAAAAAGCCTTCTGTTACTGAAGAAGAGAAAAATACCATGGAGAAGTCTGAAGAAACTCTTTCACCTACAGATTCATCTATTTTGTATAAAACTAAGCCTCCAGAAGTTGATTTTAACAAAGATAATGAAGCTGAACAAGTACAGACTTCTACAGTGGAAGTAACGCCAAAAATTGTTGCCGACACTGAACCAACAACTGAAGTAATTTTAAAGATCATTCCTTGTGATAAAGTTTTTATGAGAACTAGCATCCTGACATCACTTTTTATTCGTTTTATTGAAGTTGTCTGAGGACTGTTTTTATAAGAACTTTTTAGTCTCCTGGATTTGTGACACATATGGTCAAAGATCTTCCAAACAGACCATTATTTGTATTTACGACACCTTTACCGGTAATCAAAATTTTTCTTCAATTTTTGCACGCAAATACTATATATATATATATATATATATATATATATATA